AAGAAGTGGGGAAAGGAAGATTAGGAGGGGAGATCTATGGCATCTTCCAGAGGTGAGGTGGGGGAGGCCATCATGGGGGCTGTGTGGTAGAACAGGGGATGAGTCTAGAAGATTGGACTTATACACATGGAGTGTAAGGTGAAAATCTGCAGGTCACCTACCTGCCTCCCTAGCAGGAGTTGCCTGTGGCCTCCCAGGGAGTGCCTAAATGGAGTTTGGGGCTACTTTGAGCCAAGAATGTATGTTGGGGAGGAGCAGAACTGTGGGCTCCACTGGAGATGGAGTGTTCTGTTGCAAAGCTGGGGCTGTGAATGATGGATTGGATTTGTAGGAGCAAAAGGAGAGAGAAAGATCTGCAGTAAGAGCTTCTTCCCTCCAGGAGGGGTCTGCAGGTGCCCAGAGAATGTTTTCTGCAGTTTGGGCCATCATACAATTCCATCCAAAGGCTACCCTCATGCTTCCCTAGAATAAAACTACATTTCTGAATTAACACAACAAATTGCTTAGATTTCATCTGAAAACTCCTTAAGGAGCCAGGCCTCTTGTTTGGAGGAAAGCATTGGGTATGGTAATCCCTCCCCTTGGAGTTTTGAGTATGAAGGTCTATCAATGTCAAGCCTAATTGCCCTCGGTGCTTCCCACAATTGATGGTACTGAAGCCAAGAAGTCTACAACATATCTCATCATTATGGTTCTCTCACTGTGCAGTTGATGGGCACACCTGGCCGCAGACAACCAAAGGCCATTCAGATTTGTATTGTTTTATTGCTCTTGCAGACGAAAGCTACCTTCAGACTCAAACACCTGTCATTGAAATGAAACATGGGTCCATTAAAAATTAATAAAGAAGCCACTACAATAACTTAAATCTAATACAAATGGAAGAAAGGTAAAGCATATTAAGTACAATCTGAGGAATATTCCAATGCCCAAATGGTCATAGTGTTAAACTATGAAGTGGCTATAAATATAAAGGAAGCATGAGCTTTGATGACATAACAACAGCACATGATGAAGCGAACGTTAAGGAATACAAAGAGTCTCTGGTGACTGTTCAAGCCAAGTGTCTTCCAACTATAGCCTGAGAAGTACAAGAATACCATTTTATTGGTATCAGTGACAATGACAGTCATCCCATGCTGTGTCCCTAGTGCTTTGGCAGTTCTGACAAGCTGGTCTCTCAGACAAACACCTGCTTGGGAAAAATTACATAGGTGTGCATTACTGGCCATAGTTAAGGGAGTCATTTTCTCACAGGAAGAATATTCGCCTGTTGTGAGGAACTCGCCAGTTGTTCAGGTAAGTCAAATGATCCCATGTATTCATATCAGTGTTTGTGTAGTGTTCATAAAAACTACAAAATTAGCATTTGATCTCAAAACCTAGCAGTATGCCATAATAATTTCCTAAACTTGATATACTAGTCACAAGTATTTTAACAGAAGTATTTTATTGCAAGTGGATTCCAAAAACAGAATATACAATACCTTAACAAAGAACAAAAACAAAATTATTTTCAGCACAAAAATTCAGAAAGTAACACATTCCAAATAAATAAGATTCTTATACTGAATTTTAGGTTTAACATCAGTGATTAATCAACTTAACTTGACACGGTCAATTAGCCTTCCATCCCGAAGGCCGTTCTATGAAAGCAGTAGGTTTTCTCATGAAGACAGTGGCATTTCCTCTGTAGAGCAGATGGCAAGTCAACTGGGTATAGGTGGGGAGCTGTATAATGTCATACTAAGTGTCACCTTCCAGCGGGATGTCAATTTTATTGGCTGTTGCTGCCCTTTGCCCATACTCGCAGGCAATTTGTGCCTATCTGGCAGACCTGGTACCACTGACACGCGAAAACAGAACTGTAGGTATTTTGGAATAGTCAAACGGTGTACCCTGGTTATTCAGAACCCTGGGCTGCCAGATGAATCCGTGCCCTCTAACTACTTAAACAGGGGGATAAAATTAAATTTCACTGTCTGGAGTAACTATTAGCTTAATGGACAGCAAGTATATTCTCTACAGTATCAGTCATACACAATTATGACTTCTGGTCAGGCTGAAAAACCAGGATGACACAATTTTGTCATTTTCTCATCAAGTGTGTTTTTGCTTAAAATAACTAAATACAGATTTTTTTTTACCACATATATGTTTTTATCAGTATTTTCTTCTTACCTAATGAAAAGAGATCTGATTCCTTAATTTGTTTAGGCTCATAAGTATGATATTAACTTGGGCTTAGCATGAATTTGTACCAGAATTCATTTCCCTTTCCACTTTCCTGGAACTCTGACTTGTTTGAGTTTAGCCACAGAGTCCTTTCCATCCCAGAACATGAACTCTCACTGGTATTTAATCCTTCGAATTGAACCACAGCTTCATCCAATTCCAATAGGCACCATGTAACTGGAACGGCCATGGCAGACACAAAGCTCTTTCCTGCCAGCACTGTTTCATCTTTCCTGGGTGGCTTTATTACTGCGCATATGTTTATGAACATGATTTTCCTTGTCAAAAGGTTCCAGCACAAAGGAAAAAGGTCTCTAACTCTGAGAGGAAAACTAAAGCTTTAGACTGTGCCTTTGATAGCAAAATTCGTAGCTGAGCAATTGGCATGCTTAAGGCAAGAGTTCTTGCCTTTGGCCAGATTGTAATCAGTCTCAAATGAGCTTGTTTTACTGGCAGAAAGAAACACACAAACTGGTTTTCACTGGCATATTTAAACATTGTGTCAATGTCTACTTATTTCATTATTTCTGGACTCCGTAGAAGCACTGGAATCAATGAGGAATGCTTACAACCTTTCAGTCTGATGTACCACGTTTAGACAGAAAGGAGCCAAGCACCCTCCACTGGCATCTTAATCTTTGGACTTCAGCCTAAATTCCATGGCATATGCACAGGACAACATGAGGAGCAACCCACACACACGTTCTGTTCACATTTGAGTCCTTTGCAGCAGCATTGTCTGGTAAAGGTTAGAGCAGGTAGCAAGAGGCGAGAACTGAATTCCCAAATGATCTACCTTTCACCTAGGTTTGCACCTGTGCCCATGGTTTGCCCATATTGTACCAGCTCAGTCTGCCTTCCAACACAAGTCACAGTGAGCCATTCCCTGTGAAGCAGCAGCTGTGTTAGCTTCTGTTTTCTGTCATGCTTCCTTCCCCTCTCTACCCTCTATCCGAGGCTCAACCCAGTTTGATTCATTTGCTTATCTGCTCAAAGGGATGTTAAGGTCATTAAAAACAAACAAACAAAACAAAACAAAACAAAACCCTTTGTATTGGTTCTTTGTGAATTTCACAACCTGCACCCAAATCTTACTCATCCCCACCCCCTGTACCCATCCTTGCAACCTCCTTGCAAGAGAGAAAACAGTAATAATTCACTGTGAAAACTAGTGTGTCACAGTGTGTCCCACAGTGTACCCTTTTGTCTGCAGGTCTTTGTTTGCAAGTGTTCATTTGTTGATGTCTCCTTGGTCTATGAAGCCTCTGTCTTCTGTTACTCTATCAGTAATGGAACCTCAGTGGGACTCCTCTCAGATAACCTGTTGGTGACCTGTGTCATGGAGATCTTGTAGTTTTGGATCTGTAGGACCAGCCCTTCATGAACTCCAGCAGCTAATCTATGGGTTAGATGTTGGAGTGGGCCAATTCAAAGTGCTGAATTTGGGCCTGAGCAGTATCTGAGCTGGAGAGCATGGAGGTTCTCCTGCTCTCATGCCCTCAGAGCAGGCTTACCAGCACCACCAGCACTATAACTACTCCACCCTATTCTCCCCCTCCCACCCCCGCCGCAGCCAAAGCTAGCCCTACTGTGCTGCAGAGAGGGCCTGTTCTCCCAAGTGCTGCAGCAGGTGAGAGAGCTAGCTCTCCAGCTCTGATGACCTTGGGCCAGCTCTCCTGCCTGCTGTAGGTGGCAAGGGGTAGCCATCTCTCTCTTGCTCATATCACCACATGGGCCCGCTTGTCTGTGCCCCTGCCATCAAGGTCAGCTCTACTGTGCTGCCCAGGCAACATTCAAGGCCCATTTTCCCAAATGCTGCAGCTGGTGAGGGGCAGAACCAGCTCTCCTGCTCTCATGACACCAAGCACCTGGTCTCCCAGCTGTGGCAGGTGGTGCAGGTGCGGGGGGAGGGTATCTCTCCTTCCTCCACGCCACCTCACGGGAGACTTGTGATAGGGCCAGCTCTCCCATGCTCATATCCTCCTGGTGGCTCACCTGCAACTCTGGAAGTATGTGCGGCTGCTCTCCCGGATACTACAGCTGCTAGGGGTGGGATCAGCTCTCCGAAGATGCCCAGGAGGGGGATGGGGCCAGTTCAGCATAGCCCTCAGCTAAAAGCAGAGCCCCAGGAGGAAGCCCAGACCATGGACATCTTTTGATGGTAACAGACCCCTGATGCTGCAGAGCCACAGACCCAGATGTGATCCTTGGTGGCAGCACAGGCCAGGACCCCGTCATGATCCCAGGTGACATCACAACTACTCACAACAGGCTGTTCCTCACAACCCCGGAGTCTCCAGTTCTGCCTCTCTTCATTGTGCCCTCATCCCTTGGTTTCTCTTTCTCTTCCATTTCTTCGCCACTAACTTGCTCCTCTTAGTGGCGCCCAGGGTCTCTGAGTGTCTGGAGTCATCTTGGGGGTGGTCTTAGGAGCGTTGTGCCCCACTTGTGTATTGTGGAGCTGAACAGGGCTCATCTCAGGCATGCTGTGCCAGCCCAGGCCTGGGTAGTGCTGGACTGGTGGCCATCTCAGGCTATCTCATGGCCTGCCTGAGTGCCCCCTTGAGATGGTCCTCTGTCTCAGGCTCACTCCTACCCCTGGCTCTCGGCCCAAGGAGGGGTTCTTCTAGTCTCTGGCTTGCTCCCCACCCTGAGAACCTGCCTGGGCCTGCATGGCTCTGGGCTGGTGGTTGTCTCAGGCTAGCTCCCTGTCTGAGCCCCCTGGTGTTGGACTGGTGGTGGCCTCAGACTTGCCTTTTTCAGGGAATGTTAGGCTACTTATCATTCAGATGTTTGCAGGTCAGAACACTGAGCTTATATCTGTAGCTTCTCTCCTCTCTGCCGCCCCCTGATGCACACAGCAGCCACACCTGCAGAGCTTCTAGGGGCAGTATAAGGTCTTTTTTTTTTTTAAGTGTTTTGTTTTGTTTTAATGTGCACCTGTGTGTGTCTGTGTGAATTATCACATGAGTTCAGGGTCCACAGATGTCAGAAGAGGGCACCGGATCCCCTGTAGCTTGAATTGCAAATAGTTGTAAGCCAAGACACATGGGTGCTGAGACCTGAAAAGGGGCATTCTGGAAGAAACAAGAAATGTTCTTAACTCCTGGGCCATTGCCCCCGCAATTATAGACATTTTCTTTAAGCAGATGCAGGGACTGTATTGAATTCTCCACTTTCACGGTTGTGCTTCTGCCTCCCAACCAGCATTTAAAGTGAACAGCTTAGTGTATGGCCATGGCGTTCCAACCTCATCTGAAGTAGCAGCATTAGTTGGGAATTACAGTTGAGAAAACATAGACCCAGAGTTTAGGTAGCTCTTTGATACAAGTAAAAGCCAAGAGATAAGAGTCAAACCCAAGTCTAAATGACTTTAGAACTAATTTTTCCATACTAATGATAACGGTAAAACCACGTCGATATCAAAAAGCCAGTTTTGAATGGTGGTAGAGGCTTTCTGGTGTTCTCTTTTAAAGAGAACTTACACCAAGTTAAGGCTCAAGAAAGGAGAGTCTGCGGACCTTAATAAACAGATAAGGATCAGTTTTGTCAGGGCTGCTATGCTATGGCCATGTCATCCTTTGGTCTCCTAGTGCTAGGCTGGTCCTGAAATCTGTATGTTAAGAAGTCAAGGTTTTGTAGACCTCTACATTACCACAGATGTGGCAGTGGGCTCAAACACAATGCTTTGCAAACAAGATTTTTTTTCCAGTAAGAGGTGTGCTGAAGAGCAATTTGAGAATGACGTAAGTGCAGTTGTGCACACACTAGTGAGCACAGCCAGGTAAAAGCAGACAATGTTACGCCCCCAGAATGGAAAGACCCAGACACATTAAAAAGGCACAAATAGTGACTCTTGAAATATCAGCGCCTCCATTCACAACGGGGCTGAAGAGCCTTATCTGCCTTATCTGCCATACCAGGATGTGGCTCCTCCCTGACAGATTTAATTACTCTCCTGTCACTGCTTTGCACAGCTTCTAAATCAGCCTTTTATCAAAATAAACTACCATATTGTCCCAATATTTTTAAGCCATTTAAATATGCAAAAAATGCTACCATGGTTCTCAGAGCCTTTTGTGTGTGTGTGTGTGAGGAACTGAAATAGTGCTTGAGGTTTGTGACACTCAAAAAAATCTTGTTTTCCTCCAAGACCAAGATTTTGAATAATAATTCTTAGGAATGAGGTATCTTGTCAAGGAAGTATCTTCTGAGTACAAAAGAGCCAAATAAGATGTTTCTGTCATCAAGTTTTAGAATTATACCTAGAAAGAATGCAGCCAACTCAAAGGCATGCCAAGTTGGGGCAGCAAAATGTGTTCAGGTCATGAAGAGAGGCTTAACAGTACATCAACAGACACTAGGGACTCTAAGCAATGACATAAGAAATGGCTCCTCCATAGAAAAACAATCTTTTGATAGCTTGAATTTTAAACAATTGTTATAGTTGGGGCCCTTTTCCTCATCTACAAGTAAGCTTAACATTATCATATTGTTGTTGATTATCCTTAGACAAACATATTTCTGCATTAAAGTGATTTCAGACAATATCTATTTATAGATCTTGCACTAATTGACAGGAGATAGATAGATAGATAGATAGATAGATAGATAGATAGATAGATAGA